AATGCTTAAGGTTAGCACGGGAAGCATTGAAGTCAAAAAAGTTACAACATTTATTAAAAAATTTACACATGCTGGTAATTGGTTCGTTTGCATCATAGTTTGTGCGAGAAGTCGCCGTCATTAGGCCGAATTTAGAATCCGTATGCCAAGTTTGGGGTCAAGAAGCAGTGTTAGATTTTTAACAATATCTCAACAATTTGTTTGTTTTGAAGGTAAATAAATTTAGAAGTCATTTGCAGTGAAAACATTCCATTTTGTGAAAAAATCCACTCGAAAAGTTGAGGAAAAGGGCGGGTTGTGCCTAGTAAGCCCTACTTAATCTTACCAGAAAGTTTGTAATCACTTCCGTAAGAACTGAATATTCGGAAAGTGCTATATCAATTCCCTCAAGTTTGCAATCACTTTGTGATAACTGAATCACTTCAGAAAAGTTTTGAATCCTTTCAGAAAAAAAATATCACTTCAGAAAAATTGGAATCACTTTAGAGCAAGGTTGCAAAGACTCATTTCAGCTAAAACAATGTTTTTCTAAATTATGAAATAATTAGATGCCATGATCAAATTTTGAATTTAAGGATACAAGAAGAGGTTTCAAAGAATGTGTTTGACATATTAAACCTGTTTATTTCACTTCATGAGAGTCACAAACTCACTCACTCACTCACTCACTCACTCAGCGATCAGCAAATCGCTGATTGTGACTCATAGAAAGCAAAATTTTCAGGTTTTATGTTTCCAACGCATACTTTGTAACCTCTTCTTGTAAATTACAAGTAAAACATGCCCTCATACCATCTTTTGGTTTTATTATTCCGAAAAACATTATTTTAGATGAAATGAGTGTTTGCAACCTTGCTTTGGAGAGCACAGAATTATTTCAAAAAAGTTCGCAATCTCTTCGGAAAATACTGTTTTACGGAATCAGTTTTAAAAGTACTGAATCACTACAGAAAAGTTTAAACTCACTTCAGAAAGTACTTAATGACTTCGGAAAGTACAGACATAATTCAGCGTGAGAATGATGAACCACTCGCGGTTGCTACCCCGTTATTGCCAGATCATCTGTGTTACACAAAGAAGCAACAAATGATGCATTGGACTAACATGCATCTGCAATGTGTAAAAACTGGTGATCTCGTACTTCACAATAGGCAATAACAACGTCAGCCGCGTCCAAATGCAGGTCAATTTGAATAGAGTCAATCCAAAAGCAGTTTTTATTACTTACACTACGCCATCTTATAAGGCACGTTACTTGTTAATCAACATTCAGGCATTGAAAAAGTGTCGGTATTATGCTATGGTCTCTTCCGTGAACAATAACTTTTAAGCTTATTTGGAAGATGCTTTGAATACCCAGGTAACAAATTGATGCTTAACAAGTGTTCTTTCAACGATTTTAATTCAGGCTTAGTTTGAATAATTGTTGCACATATACCACTTTAACCTTTGTTCAGCTTTTAAACATCCAAATCTAGTGATTTTAGTCAGCCCAAACCTTAACAGCAATCTAAATTATAAGCTTTTCAAGGAATTAACCAATAGTCTATTGCAACCCTTGTTCAGCCTTCATTTTTTTTTTTTAAATATAATGGAAGACCGCTTCATATTTTATATTTTTTATGATACTGCTTTAGAATGTTGCTGACTAATTGGATATACATATTCATATTGTTTTTATATATCTAAAAATTACCTTTAAACTTCGGGATTCGAACCGGCAGTCGCTGATTCACAGGCGTCAACTATACCCATTCGACCACATAAGCATATTTATGGCAGAAGGTATGATCATTAACTTGAAGAACGTCAAAATTAAGTTGAATAATAGCAACCGGAGGGGTATTATACAGCAATGCAGAATTGTAAACAATAAATTGTGACAGTAAAACATTCCTCTCATTTCAAGTGCAGAAAACACAATGTGGACAGAAGTGCGCAATGTGTTTTGATGCTATTTGAGTGCTGCAATTGAATTATATTTTCAGGGCTGTTACAAGATTTTCTAAATTTGATCCGCGAAATCCGCGATTTCTCAAAAGAAATCTGCGACAAAAAAAAATTTCATTGTCTAAAAATAGCATTTGCATACTACTATTTTCGGATTTTAATTGAGAGCTTCCTATGCCTGTACCATCCTATCCCCTAGAAAGTAGAGAAATTTTCCAACTCGAAAAATTAATAGACCTGACGGGAATCGAGCTCAGACGCCCCCAGCATGGGCTTGCTTTGTAGCTTCGCCTTTACCGACTGAGCTAAAGGAGTATCGTTTGTAACTTTTGAAATTAAAAAAAAATAACATTGTATCATCTTCAGTTATCTATGTATAGTATAAATTTTGAGTAATTAGTGAATATAATAAAACACCCTTACATTATGAGATTCTATTGGATAATACCGACCAAGATTTAAAAAATAAATAATTCATTTTCATTTGAAATGCAAATTTTCTTGAAAATTTACCTTTGCGTCTCTGACGTATTTTTCTGTCCTAAATGTTGCAGTTAATTTGGCTCTAGTTTTCTCACTTTTTACCGATTCAAACCAAACACCCTGCACATAATCGAGAAATTACCAGAGTTTCATAAGTCACACTTGTTGGTCACGAAATTATAGGTTTTCCAAATTGTTCAGGACATCAGTTGATTTGTTCTACTAGATCAACCAAGACTGCAATAATGTCTGTAATATCGAAAAATGTCCAATCAGATTCAAAGTGTCTATGTGGATCATGCATGACCTATTTCCGAGTAATCCAGATGTTCAAGGTTCTTCAAATCGTCCTGAAGTTCAGATAATTTGATCTACTAGATCAACCGAGATTAGGACAATGTCTCTAGTATCGAAAGATTTCCAGACAGATGCACAGTGTCTACGTGGATCATGCATGAACTATTGTCATGTATACCAGATGTTTTAAGTTCTCCAAATCGTTCTGGAGTTCAGATGATTTATTCTACTAGATCAACAAAGACTAGGATAATATCTGCGTTATCGAAATATCGACTTGGAAATCCTAGAACATTTGGCATACACGGAAATAGATTGGCATGATCGACATAGACACTGCAAATTTGTTTGGGAATATTTCGATGCTACAGATATTGAATTAGTCTTGGGTGATCTAGTAGAAAAATAATCTGATCTCCAGAATGATTTCAGATCATCTTGTATACGTAGCATTAGGTCGGGTACAATCCACATAGACACTTTGAATCTGTTTGGACATATTTCGATACTACAGACACTATGGGAGTCTTGGTTGATATAGTAGAACAAATCACCTGAACTCCAGGACGATTTGAAGAACCTAGAATATCCGGTATAAATGGAAATTACTCGCATATATACGATTCTTTTATGATTTGACAACGAAAAATGATATGTTCATATTGGATTAAAAAAAAGGAAAATGTCTCACATTGGACAGACCTCAGGAAATTTCCGTGTAAATCCGGTGTGATTTATGGAATTGAGATCATTTCTCGATTATTTGCAGCGTGTTTGGTTCGAAACGGTTAAAAATTGAGAGCCAAATGAACAACAAAACTGATGACAGCAAAATAATCCGGGACGGAAAGGTTACAATGAATTCCACAATTTTTCTGACAGCATATCAGTACCATTCGTGATTTTCGCGACATCATTTAATGTTTCCGTGATTTTCGCGACTGAAAGTTCAAATCCGCGACAAATCCGCGAAAATCGCGAAATCCGCGCCTGTTGTAACAGCCCTGTATTTTTGAAATGCAGTCTGAAAATTAAGTGCAATATAAAGTGGTGAACAGACAAAAGACAGAAATACTAATGTTAATACTTCCGACGTCGTCGCAGTCCACTTCTAGGTGGAGCTATTCTTAAAAAGTTCTTCTTCCTTGTCTCTACTCCTTGTGCTGCTTGGGATTAGAAAGGTAGGCAGTGAATTTAGAATAACTAAAATGTCGGAAAGGCAACAAGATATCAAAATATTTGTAGCGCATTGCTGGTTTGTGGAGTAGTATTAAGCTTAAATAAGTCTTGTTCAGTCTTTATATCAGCTTACTTACTGAGGTTGAATTATGGAGATACATAATTCACCACACCAGGCTGTATATTCAGCCTGGTGTTAATCAGCTTCGTACACCTTAAATCAACCAATAATCAACTTTTGTTCTTACAATTCAGCTTGAATTTTTACTTGGGTAGGTAGTAAATTTTATGGCGGAATTTTGGGGGCTTGTGAGCATTCCTGACATTGCTGAAAATTATGATAGCATCAAACAGCGGGGTTGCTAGCGCAATAGGATGCTTTGTTGATTATTATTTAACTCTTGACCGCTAGGAATGCTTGTGAATATTTGAGGTGGACAAAAGGGCGAACAAGGCGGTGAAAGCCTAAGCTTTTTCACATTCATATCGCTGTGAAGCAATTGAAAATTTTTGAGGGAATTTATATCTGTTACTCTGACCAGTTCTTTTTTGTATGCTAATCTGGTTAAGATATCAAACTGAATAATCTTAAAGATAAATCGTCCAGCTCAAACCTCTGTAGGGGTAAGAGGTGAGACCATCATCATCATAGGGTGTTACGGGCACCACTTTTACACTTAAGTGAAAAACATCCACACTGTGATAGTTTTTATGGAATTTATGTGAAAATAAGCGCTTCAGTTTATCACCTATTTGAACTAGAATGTTTTTTTATTATCTTTTTTATTGATTTTTGAATTTATATTTGTCCGTAGAATCAAAACATGTTCAAAGAATCTGCCTAAAATTATTTATTATTTGATTAAAAAAACATCTTGAAAAATAGTCAAAGTACCGTTTGACAAACGATATAAAAGGATAAGAATTCGTCTATCGACATCAAGAGGCTTTAAAGATTAGATGCCATAACGAGATAATGGATCAATATAAAATAAACCACAAGTTTCATTACCATATCATTGTGGCAATTTGTTTTGCTAATGTAGCTCTGAAAATGTAAATTAATAGAAAATTATAAAACTGTAACATACCTTTTCTAGCTTTGTTGTTGAAATAAATCTGCCTCAATTTCTCTCAGCACAACAACTGCTTTTCAGATTTTCAAATCCACTTAATGCACAATTCACCAACTATGTTTTAATAATTGGAAACAATTTTTTTCAAACTTCCACTTTCAAAATGACTATACACTTTGTGAAACAAGCACCGATCACTACGATAACTTTCTATTGATAATAAAATTGTTATACATTTAGTGGAAATCGATTGAGTTGTCCATTCGATTCAGTGGGGGGCTCCAGAACCATTCCATAAGCCTCATTCAGGCAGAAAATATCTTCCCTTCCTTCAAAGATACGCAATTCAGTATCTGTTCTCTTCCTTTTCAACACTTGCAGGCCATTCAACTCGAACTGATTTAACGACCCTTCAAAACATTCCACTTCCCGATGGGTACCACTGTAAAACTGCCACAGTAGTGTTTCGTTTCGCACAATTAAAATTTATCAGGAACGAGAATCAACTTTCCGCGCGGAACCTTTCGGCTTATTTTGTTTTTCCTTTCACACTGCCACCAATCGACACCCACTGGGCGTAAAAATTCCTTGCGCTCCCGACGGGCTTCCACAACCAGAAACACCAACAACACTCACATACAACACTTCGCGCCGAGGGGCGGTCCCTAAATCTTTCACCGCGAGTTGGACAACTTGAACGCACGTGAGAACAGTTTCTTTTGCTCTTGATGGTTGAGATTCTGCGGGATTCGTTTTTTATATATTTTCTTTCTGATTGACCGATTTACAACGAAGCAACTTGCCCTCGTAAATCAATCACACACGCACTGGCAGCATCCCCGTCTGGAGATTCAGGTAATTCACCACCCCCACGGTAAGAACGACACTTTTTCAAGCTTGTACTGTATGTTGCCAAACAGTGGACACTTCTGAATCACGCCGGTAGGGAAACGCTCTTAGCAATATTTCAATCACCACCCAAGTTAGAAAGAAGCCCGAATTATGTTTGACGCTACTGCAGCTTTGCGAAATTACGTCCAACACGAACGGCGCGTAAAGTACGACTGAATTGTGGAAAACGCGTTTTCCGTCGATTCGGGATAACGAACAGGTGGAAAATCAGCCGCCCTGCCACGATTACACCAACGGGCGGCGGCCAACATACAGGATTCGCTCTCCGAACATGACTCGCTCTCTCCCGTCCGTGCCAAGCCGAACCGGTAAGCCGGCAGTCGGGAGAGTCCTCGTTGTTTTCTGTTTTGTTGCTAATATTTTCCCCTATTGTTGTAAAATGTGGAAACGTCCTCGTGGTGTGATGCCATGTATTGTGGGGGGTCAATTGGGGGGTGGGGAAGGCGGTTTGTTTATGCGCTAGAAGAGATGCGCAGGGCCGGGACCCATCAGGAAACGTGCGATAATAGGGAGGGTTAGTAAACAGTTTGTTCTCTCCGAGTGACAGCATTTGAGGAGTGTTTGATGAGAGCACGTCAGGTGGGCGAGAGCAGTTGATGGATCTATGGTGGTTGCTCAATTGGGGACGTCGAATGAGTGGTCTACAGCGGAATACTTTGAATTCCGCACGATGTTTTTTTTATTTTGCATTGTGAGAAGCTAGTTTCATTTCATCCATTCTGTCTGTATTTCTTTGTTTATGTTATGTACATCAACATAAGATAAACTTCACATTAACCTTAAAAATAGCTGCTACTACTATGCATACGCTATTGTGACCTAGAATTGGTTATTAAAATAATATATTATAACACTGACACAAATTGTGAAATGATTCCTCATTTTTTTGTAGTACATATTTTCAACTTGGTAGTTGGTAGCACGCCCGTCAATTCTGCGGATCGTAGGGAGTGAACAACGGCGGCTGTCATCGATCTTGTCATGATCGATACGCCATGATCGCAATCTGTCACCCAATGATGATTTGCGAAACAGGAACCAATTAGAAAAAAGAAGAAAGATACTATAGTAGTTACATGCTATAGTCAAGTTAGTCTATTATTAAAATCTTAATTTGTTTTATAATCTAGTTCTAAAACCTATGTTGACCTATCTACCCAAGTAACCGATAAGCATTAAAACGTAGCCCTAATTCTGCTTGAAATCCGAATATGAAGCAGCCATTTAATGCATATGAAGTGCTGTATGCTAATATAGAGTTGATATAATGCTAAAAAGGCGAAATAGCGGGCCTTTATAATGGTAGTATGGTAGCCCGTTACTAGCACTGCTAATGCTTACTTAAGGCTGATGTGAGAAACGCACGATTTTTTTTCCTATTATTTGCAAATAATCGGGCCCACCGCCCCCGATGCCAAAAATAAGTAGACTCGTAAACGAAATAAAAATGATAACTAATGATTTCTTTATGTTCAGATACCTTTTTTTCAAGTTTCATCATTTGTGTTTCATATTTATGATTAAGATACGGATATGGATGCTATGAATTTTACCTGTAATGAGACTCGAACCTGGACATTCTGGAACAACAATCATGTGCCTGTACTCCCTAAGCTATAGATCGTGATGGAAATTGCTTTTTAAATTGACTTATTTAAGCACACGATTGGTGGAGGTCATCCATTTCGCGTTTTCATGGTCTCAGATCTCATCATCAAGAAGCTGTGAAGATCTCATAATTTAATTTTGTGCACACTTTCCTGATGCAAGCACTGAGTTTTATTTTCAAATGCATACATTACGTAGATCTAGAGATTTAAGGATGAGAATATACGAAGTGGTTAAACAAATCGCGTGTGAAAAGTCATGCATCAATCGTTTACTCAATCATCTTTGTCAAATTTTTATGTTGGTGTTTGTGAACATGTTCGAGAGACACAACTCGTTATACCTCACAAATACTGACTATGTGGTTTTCCTGTCAAAATATTATCAAGCATTGCTAATGCTCATATAAAGAGGATTATGTGCATGGAGCATTAGGAGTGTTGATTGAAAGCTTATAGCATTAGCAGTGCTCATTAATGGCTTCTCAGCATTAGCAGTACTGTCTAAGGGCTTATTAACACTAGTAATGCTGAAATAAAGCCGATGAAAGGCTACATACTAATGCTTATGGTTACTTGGGTAGTACTTAAACCTTTACCGTTAATACTAAATTTAACATAAAATGAGGTAGTGTTTGGAAAAATATCGTTTTTGCTTACAGATTAGTGTTCTTACAATAAGGTTACAACTATGGCTAGAAACTAAACAGAAATTAGTGCTAAATACTACAAACTACTACTAGATCTACATGTTACACAAGTGAACAGTAAGAAACATTAAACCTGGGATCACCCGTTTGCTTATGATATTTAATTTACTTACCAGCTAAAGCTGCGCATAGCTAGAGATGCTCAAGACACATTCGGAGTGTTATGTGGAAGAGAAGTTGAATTGCTAAAAGAAAGTTGATTAGGGTATTTAATTTCACACATGTTTAATTTATTAATTAATCCCTCTAGGAATTTATAGCCTCCAAATTACTCTCGGTAAAAAACGTTAATGAATTCGGTTAATTCAGGCGACATCCGCAACTATTCTTCCATCTGTGGTGATATAAGCAATCGATTACTGGCAAAGGGATTCAATTAAAAAAAAAGACTGGTTTTCAAACTGACTTGCTGTTTTGGTGGCAGTGAGGCTAATTCAATGAGTTTTTAAGAGATCAGGTGGATTACTATGAGAAATTTTAAATTTCAACTGAAGGCACGGTATTACCATCAGGGCCCCACGAAGTCACTTTCAGTCGAAATTCGTCAAGCGACGATGAAGCTGTCAACCATCACTTTCAATTGAAAGTCATTCTGTCTTCTCTTCGAGCAGAAGAGAACCACTTTCGATCTTCATTTCTCCTTTCATTGCCAAATGAACTTACTTTTGCATTGAAGCGAAGCCGTTCGATCCAAATTCGTGCAGTTTTTATGACTTTTGTTGTTTAATCACTCGGTTCATTTAAGCGTATGCGCATAGATCTGTGCACGTGGATGCCAAATTTATCATTGTCGGGTGGTTTGTTTACCCATCAATATGGGTATTTTTTTTATTCGGGGTGACGTCTAGAGATAGAAAATTCATATGCGACGCTATTTTGAAATCCAACATGGCAGCTTCCAGTTTAAGAAAAAGTGGGCGTCAAGTACTTATCAGAAAGGTATTTTGGGGAATCGGGATGATGTCTAGAGGATGAAAATCGATATATCGACGCCATTTTGAAATCGAAGATGGCGGCTTGCGATTTCCCAAAACTGAAAATAAAGTCAAATACACATCAATATTGGTATTTTTGTAATCGGTATGAAGTCTACAGATCGAAAATTTATATGAGAGGCCATTTCAGATTAAGTGGGAAATACTGTCAAATACCCATCAATATAGGTATTTTTGGAATCGGGATGGCGTCTAAAGGTCGGAAATCGATATCCGACGCCATTTTAAATCCAATATGGCGGCTTCCTATTTAAGAAAAAATGGGAAATGCTGATGCCGTCCCATCAATATAGGTATTTTTGGAATCGAGGTGACGTCTGGAGAATGGAAATCAATATCCGACGCCATTTTGAAATCCATGATGGCGGCTTCCGGTTTGAGAAAAAGTTGTTAATTCTATCAAATACCCATACAAACGGTTTTTTTAGAATCAGGCTAACGATTCGGAGCCGGAAATCGATATCCGACACCATTTGTAATCCAAAACGGCGGCTTCCAATTTGCGGAAAAGTGTCAAATATCCTCAAATATGGTTATAGACGTAGATGCCGAAAATTGATGTCACGCCGTCTTTAAATCCAAGATGGCGGCTTTGGTTCAGAAAAACTGTGAAATACTGTCAAATACCGATCAATGTGGGTTTTATGGAATCGGGCTGACATCTAGAAGAAAGAAATCGATTTCCGACGCCATCTTGAAATTCAAGATGGTGGCTTCCGATTTCAGAAGAAGTGTTAAATAGCCTACAAATGGCATCGAATATCGATTTTCAGCATCTGCGCGTCGTCCTCGTTCCGAAATACCCAGATCTTAGGGTATTTGACACTTTTTGTGAAACCCGATGGCCGCCATATTGGATTCCAAAATGGCATTGGATATCGATTTTCAGCATTCACACGTTGTCACCATTCCGAAAATACCCATATTGTAGGGTATTTGACACTTTCTGAACCCTGATGGCCGCCACATTGGATTCCAAAGTGGTATCTGATATCGATTTTTAGAATCTACGCGTTGTCCCTGTTCCGAAAATACCCATACTGTAGGGTATTTGACACTTTTTCTGAAACCCTATGGCCACCTTATTGAATTCCAAAATGGCGTCGGATATCGATTTTTGGCATCAACGTGGCATCCCCATTCCGAAAATACCCTAGTATTTGACACTTTTCCTGACACCGATGGCTGTCATCTTGGACTCCAGAATGGCCTCGTTAATTTAATTTTCGTTTAATATAAAATAATATATTATTACTACATATAATCCGGATGTCATCCCTATCGGCAACCGATAATGTGCGGATAATATCCGGATACTATCCGGATACTATATTTTTAAGCTTGCATCGTCAGGTCGTGACAAGTCGAATGAGTCACGAATTGAAGTGAAAGTGGATAAAACGAAGGAAGCAGTTTTCGAGTCATTCATTGCGTCAATTGCAACAAGTCTTTGCTTCAAATGAAATGAACTGAAGCACTTGACGAACGAAATAAGTGATAGTCCAGTCATGTTTGAAAAGAGGAATGTTCATCGTGACTCGATAACAAGAAACACGATGACTTACACGAAAATGATATTGCTCGAAATGAAGCGATTCTGCGGAGAGTTCATTTTCTTTTCTTTGTTACGAAAATGAAGAACCCTGATTACCATAGAGGTAACTCTAAGACCAGAAGGTCCCGAAGAAACATCCTCAACTTTTTGGCTCAGCTCTGGTACTCTCTTCGGTCCCAAGCAAATCGATGCACCCCACGAACCCCTCATTTTATCTGTCAAACTTTCATAGCTAATCAAAACAAACATAGTGTAGT